GACGTGTCGCTGATACTACACACCACATACTGAAGTTAACCTTAATTTGACTAACTTTAATTTAAATTGAACATAAATTGATTTAGTGCTTTTACTTGCGTGGAGTATTTTGTACATATTGTATTGCATATTCTGAATACTGCCCCTCAATGCCTGTACAATAGTTTTCTGCGGCCTTTCAAGTAACGTTCGTGCACACGTTCACTCGGGAGCGTATCTGTGTTAAAGGTTGCAGCGCGACGTGATCACGTGACCGCCGACCTTCCTTCGCGTGCCCGTCCCTCGGAATCGTCCCGCAGCAGGTTTGACGCCCGTCGACACATCATGGCGTTCTTCACTCATCACGTCTGCAGAGGTTTGTCGTCTTCGGCCGTCAGGAATGTCGCTATCAAACACCTCACGGTCATCGGAGGCGGACAGATGGGCGCGGGCATCGCACAGGTCAGTGACGACATGCCTCGGGTCAGCGGTTAGCCTCCGAGCTAGCACGTTAGCTTCGTTATAAGTTGGTGAAGCAGCAGCAGCAGCAGCTGCTCGTTAAAGGAAGGCGGAGCGTGCGCACATTAGCCAAAAACAACCAGTTGGTTTTCATCAGTCGAAATAGTCTCATGTACAACCGGAAAAGAACACTGTCTTTACAAAGCACCTTCGTTGCACTCGAGTTGTCCAACCTGCAAGACGGGAAATATCGTGGAAGCCTTCAAAATAAAAGCGCGTGGTTGTATTAACGTTATATTTCGTTGAGTGTGTTGTCTCACAGCCACACACTTATGCCACAAGGACGTTGCGTTGTGAAATCGCTCAGTTGTCGTTCATTAAACACGGTTGTACCTTGTGGTGCGACACGAAATAAAACTCGACACCGAGGAACTGCAGGATACACATCCGGCCACAAGGTGTCGCTCGCCTGATAAACTGGAATAGCTGAGCTTTGTTTCAAGTTCAGTGTATTTTATACTATATATTATATGAAATTATAGTGTATATACTAACTGTATTCGGTCTCACAAAACATAGTTTTATTTTCTTGCCTACACTTCAGCATCAGTGTGGGCAAAACAGTCTGACATTGATGGCTATTGGTTATCTGGTTATTTTGACCTGATTTCTTTCTTAAAGGTTGCCGCGTCAACTGGTCACTCTGTGACGCTTGTGGACACAAATGGCGAAATCCTTAAAAAGGCTGTCAAAGGAATTGAAGGAAACCTCAAAAGAGTGGCAAAGAAGAAGTTTTCTGATAAGCCAGAGGTGAGAAAATAAATCTCCACGACGGTAAGAGATTGAAACGTGCTGAATGAACTGCATTTTGGTTTGTTTCAGTCGGGTGAAGAGTTCATCCAGAAAGCCCTGCAGAACGTGTCGACCTCGACGGATGCTGCAGCCGTGGTTCAGGGCTCGGATCTTGTGGTGGAGGCAATTGTGGAAAATCTAAAAGTCAAGCAGGATATCTTCAGTGGGCTCGACAAGCTGGCACCGGCGTGAGCATCGTTACTCAATACTGTTCATTTTTAAATCCAAGAGCAGGTTTTGATCAGAGAGGGAAGTTGTAACGCTTCATTTGGTGGCTTTTGTAAAAGAGAACCAAATGGAAAGTTCTGACGGGCACGATTGCTAGGATTATTAACCGCTGTCTATGTTGTGTTTTATCGATTGCGTCTGCTTTTGCTGCACCGCTCGGCTCTTCAGACACACCATCTTTGCCAGCAACACTTCCTCCCTGTCCATCACGGACATCGCCAGCTCCACCAGCAGGCTGGACCGCTTCGCCGGCCTTCACTTCTTCAACCCAGTCCCCGTGATGAAGCTCGTAGAGGTATGTACGGTTCTTATGAGCGTGCCTGTGTGTGTGGCCAAGAGAGAGAGATATATATTTCTTATTCAAATTTCCTCAGACAACTGAATCAGAAACAAATGCAGGACCTTATTCAAAACCACTCTAATGACAAAGTGAAATTGTCGATTGTGTGAGAAATGCAAACCGGGGATTTGATTGGCAACGCGGCCACTAATACTTAATTTGAATCAAAGTGGCTTAGAATATGAATCTTTCACAGGTGATTGGAACCTCAGCGACAAGCCAAGAGACTCTCGATTGTCTCCTGAACTTCAGCAAAGTACTGGGAAAGACGCCAGTGTCCTGCAAGGTAAGATGTGCTTTCTGACGTCGTCGTAGTCTCATTACTGCCCACTCAGCAGCACGCAACCTCTCCTTCTGCAGGACACGCCAGGATTCATCGTCAACCGCCTGCTGCTTCCCTACATCATAGAGGCCATCCGGATGTATGAGAGGGGTATGTGCACCTGCACGGGCACCTGTGGGTCATGTCATTCGTTTAAAAAGTCAAGTTTGGGCATTGTTACACATGCTGCAGTGGCACAAAGATCAACTAATTTTCCTTTTTAAACTGAAAAATACAACCATACGTCTTTTGAAGGTTTCGCTCCTTTCTCAGACATTGAGAGGAGCTTCGATATCTAACTAACTGAATCACACTTTATTCTAACCTCAGAGTAAAACTCATCAAAACAGTCTGATTTGGTCTTTCCAATGTTCCAACTATCGGCTCTGGTTTGATCAGAATAAGGCCTCAATCCACAGAGTTGGAAGTAAAATATCCTCGCTCTACTTTCTGAGCCGTGCTGCGTTTCAAACATCATTAAATATTGAGGATCTATTCAGTATGCTGCGGTACAATGGTGTAGTTTTTGATTTCTCCCCCAGGCCATGGATCCAAAGAGGACATTGATATTGCCATGAAACTTGGCTGTGGTTATCCCATGGGCCCCCTTGAGCTCGCGGACTATGTAGGACTCGACACGATGAAGTTCATCATGGACTGTGAGTAAAACCATGTGGGGAAATATTCGTATGATTTTAACCAGTCGTTACTTGGCAGATTGACTCAGGCATTGTGCTTAAGTACCAATTTGAGGTACAATGGCTTCAGAAATGTACTACTTTTTTCTTTTGAATTATTTGAATTCAAATGAATTCATTTATATTTATATATTAAATGATGGACTTTTTCTTGAATTTCCAGATTACACTTGTTTACTGAAGTGACATTTTTCTTAACAGACGTTTACTTTCAACAGAGTATTTCTACAGTTAGGTGTTAGAACTTTATGTATTTCCTCCACTGGATATAAGCGGAATTTGAAACTGCTCTCGAGGAGGAACGAAGATATTTTGAATGAACTTGACTCGTTTTTGTTTTTGCATGTCTTCAGATTGGTCTGCAGCAAATCCTGAGAACCCGTCCTTTGCCCAGAGTGAATCTCTGAACAAGTTGGTTGCAGAAGGCAAATTTGGTAAAAAGACAGGAGAAGGATTCTACAAGTACAAGTGATTTCCTCACTTTAACGCAACACTAGTCAGAACTTTGGAAATTGAAAAAAAAAAAGTGCCTCCTGTAATAAATGCCGACAATTTTAGTCTGTCAGTCCATTTTGTTCTGGACGTCTGCTGGATTACTTTTTGTTTGTGTGTGAAGACATTAAATCGGATCAAATGAAATGTTTCAAACCCGTGTGTTTGTGTTTCCCATTAGATAAATCAAGGTCAAAACTTTCAGAACCCTTTCAGTAACAAATAATAAAACACTCGCATTGGTTTACCTCAAAGAACGGGAGCGCATGATTTCCTAATTCAAATCGATACATTTATTTGTAACATAAAACGCTTTAAAAGTCCTGCTAGCGGCTGTGACCCCACCCACCTTACTGGGTACATAACGTTAAGCCCGTAGCATTAATGACACTGACAACTTTTATACAAAATGTAGTTCTCATTAAGCGGGAATGAACGAGTTAAAGTCATTTGTTCCAGGCTGTGAAGGTGTTTTTTTCTAGTGGCCACTCGATGAACTGCAGCTGGTGGCTCTTTTGCGTTGGCGAGGTTGCTGCTTGGTTTTATATCGTATAAAAGTATGTAGGTCAAATATTAAATTTAAATTAACCAATTTGTTTATCTTTGCTCACTGTGTGTTAAGTTACCTTGAATTCATGGAGGATCCAGGTTTAACAACCGTAACACTAAGTTAACTTAACCGTAATATCAACAATGAGCCCGTTTGAGAAGTCATGTACTTAGTATTTTCTTTTCTTTTCTTAGTGTGCAGTGTCACCAAAATCGTATTATTTAAACTATATCACTACCGTCATATAAACGTGTGTCCGGATTAATCGTTATAGAAACTCTCCTCTTTCAGCATTAAAATGGTTTCACCTGCTTGTACTATGAATCTCTGCGTATGCATCATTGAGTACAGTTGAAATATAACAGCAAAGTAAAAGGCGTAAACAAGACCGCACCTGGACACGTACCCCCGACGTACTCTTTAATAAACTCAACCTTTTTAACTCAATGGTCTATTTCTGCTATTGGTACATGTTAAAGATGTATTTTATTATCATAATTAAGACTTGAGATGGACAATATATTTCGGGTTGTGCTTGAAACAAAGGCAACATTTAGGAATGTATACATACAACTTCAATGCCTAGAATGAATCATTTGTCAGATGCCTTTGGGAATCTTTTTAATGTTCCTATTAGGCTGCAGGAACACAAGATGGTGCTGTTTTACTTGGAATGATATCCTCCAGAGGCACAATTCAGCCTTGCCTATAAATAAACTTTGCCTCTGATCTTAGCTTTTTAATAAAAAACATTCAATATTCACTTGTTATCTTAAGAGTTTTACACTATTTAAAGTCAAGAGACAATCTTTACATTGAGCGACAGAGAAAAGACCTCAACCTGTAAACTGATCCAACTGATAAAAGATATTTATACTGACATGATGTAGATCTCTTTTTATCATCATCACCACAATAATACAGTATTAATGTAGCCGCAAGCGTTTGGGGGTTTTGAGGTTAAGCTTCCACAAGGTCAAACATGTCATATCGAATGTGTTTCATCTGCTTCACACCATTTGTAAATATATAGCATTACCACATATGCATGAACTCCTTCTCCAAGGATGACACACAGACTGCTACATCTGGCACTTTCAGCTCGCGTCTTTCCACCACACAAGTGATCAAATGAGCCAATGGTGCCTTTTTATTTTTCTTACCAAAAAACATGTTGAAACAGTTCAAATGTGACCACTTGGGAAGCAAAATGCTATACCAAGATGACAGTGACCCGAAATATGATAATTAAAAAAAAAAGAATTCATCAATTAATACTAAAAGAGAGCATTAAAATCATAATAATGTTACAGAGATGCCTGCATGGAATAAAACAACATGGCTAAAGACCACACTATTAGCTACCAGAGAGAAAAGACAAAGGTCCATTGCAATAAAAGAAAGACTGCCAAGTGCTGGGGTAAATATATATATCTGCTTCATTTGTCATGTTTTAGAACAATAAAATATAGGCCTCTGAGCCGTCACTCGCCTTTGTCCTAATGTTGCCTGCAAAAATACCAAGAAAATTGACATATCCTGACAGTTTTAAAAAGTACACATACTGAGCATTATTTTACATCTGAGAAGGATTCGAGGTCACTATTTGTTACAAATAGTTATCAAAAGAAGCCTTAAGTTTCAATTTTCTGCAAGATGCTTCAACAAGAAAAATGGCTTTCCTGTGTCCAAAGCTTAATTTTATATATACCACTATATAAAAAAACAATATTAAAAAAAAACACTAAAATATACACCGAGAAATTGAAACAAGGGTTCAGGATACAAAAAAAGCATTCAAAATCAAATTCAGTCTAAAATGAAAAACAAATGAAAACAAACAAACTAAAATGGCGTCTCGACGATTCGAAGACAAGATGAAATTCCTCCGGCTTCCTTAGTGCAGTCTAAAAAGAGGTGTTTGGTCAGTCGGGCAAAACCCCAAATGGTCTCAAAAATCCAGGGAGGGAGAGAGAGAACGGGGGGGGGGGATTGGATGTGGGCCTGACGAACTATACAAAGAAACCAAGGCGACAAATAACTTACGGTGACTTGGAGTGTCGGAGTGTCTGGGCGGTGCAGTGGAGGTGCATCGGGACTATTGCGGCAAAGCTGATTGTAAAAAGAGAACTGACGAAACACAGACGACAAATCGATGTTTTTTTTGTTTGTTTTTTTGTTGTCGTTTTTGTTTTTTTTACGGTGAGACAAGGTGGTTGCGTGAGGGTGCTCCAGCTAATCATGATTGTCTTGTTCAGTTCAGTGTCTCTCTGGTGGGCGCCTTCAGGACGGGAGGAGAGTGCAACAAGTGAAGGGTTTTCTGTGGAGGGGGTGGCAATGTGACCGTGTCGAAGGGGTTGGGTGGGGTTCGGAGAGAGACGGGTGGAGGGGGAGTGCGGCCCTCTGGAGAACTGGAGGCCTCAGACGGGAGATTTAAGGGTCTTCGTGGAACCTAGCAGGCCTCCATCTCAAGCAGAGGGCCCGTAGCTGCTGCCTTCGCTTTGCATGTGGAGAAATTGTCCCGTTTTCCTCCTGGGAGGGAAAAGCAGAGCAAAAACAAAGACAAAGTTAAAAAAAAGAAGGAAAGACTTTTAAATCCAAACAAACTATGAAGTCACTGCATCTGTATACCGACAAAAGGAAAAGAATGAGCAGCGCATCGGCGACTCGCACCGAAACACTGGTCCCACGCGCCGCCTCGACTCACACGGGACACGTCGCGACGACTCAGAGTGACTCAGGCTGATCACCTGTCCTCACCGGCCACGCCTTCTATCGGTATCCGCCGTACATCGCCGCAGTGTTACAGCTGACTGAACGAAAGCCTCTGCAGCTGCGTCGAGCCGAGCTACAGAGGGGTCATAGGTCGGTGACAGGATGTGGGCCGGGCCCAGCTTTGATCCAGTCCAACGCGGGGTCGCCGTGACCCAGCTGGCAGTGCTGCGCTGGTCTTGGCCCCTCCCCCCACCCTGACTGACTCATACCTCCCCTCTCTCGGGGGCGTTTGCCCGATTGTTCTGGCCGACATTGAGGCTGCCGCTCCGGGTGGTCGATGGGAAAGCAAGACGGGGAAGCAACTCTCCACACGGGAGGATGGCTTCGTCGACCCGGTTAAACCAGCACAGTTTTACGGGGGCCGCGTTGGTAATTGGTAACCTGAACCAACGCCGTTCAGGTGCAGATTGTTACCCGACCTGCTCGATCCACTTCACAGGACTCACGCAGAATGGTTTGTCACGCCGCAAAAGTGCTCTTTTCCGCTGTCGTGATGTGAGCTCGGGCTAACATAACAGAGTTAGCTTCAGTTATTGACAAGCCGAGGAGAGGTATTCTAGAGCCGAGCGGCATCAAATGGAATATGTGATCAAAGCAGGCGAGGCAGAGGTGGATGGTTGCCTCCTGCCATGCTTTGTAGAGACGAAAAGCAAAAGGAAAAGCAGCGGAATCTGTTTTGCTTTCCTCTGGTGTCTCTTTGTAGGAGACAAGTCAGCTGATCCTCCACCGCTCGCTGCACCTTAACACCACCCTGCTTCACCACATGTGGATGAGAGGGGACGGGGGAGGAGAGTGACCCGTCAGCAGCACAAAGTGGAGCCTGAGAGGGGGGGGAGAGGGAGAGAGAGAGGGAGGGAGGGGGGGGGCTGTCGCTTTTATTCACCTCCGCCTTTTCATCCCGGGATCTCAAAGCGGACCCGCACGCCCGGGACTGCACCCTGTTTCCTGGGGAGCATTTCCCCCCCCCCCCCTCCTTCCACAGACATGAAAAGCTTTGGCCTTCCTGCCCGGGGAAGAGGCCCGAGGGTCTGCGGGCGAGAATGTGCACGTGTGTATGCGTGTGTGCGTGTGTGTGTGTATATGTGTGTGCGCACAATTCAAAAAAAAAAAAGGTTGGTGGTAACAGCAGGGATGTGTACTGCGTGGTGGTTGGTTGCGGGGGTTGGGGGGGGGGGGGGGGGGGGGCACCAGGCCAGCTCTTCACAAGGTCCAGCCGACACAAACACTGGGATTCAGGAGCAACTTGACCCCTCCTCCCCCCCCTCCTTCCTCTTCTCCTTCTTCCTCCTCCTCCCCTTGGACATTAGCACTCAGGAATGCCGCCTTAGACTTTTTTTTTGCAGGAAGTGAAACGCTCCTTCTGTCCAGAGAGCTAGCAAAAAGTTTTAGCCCCCCCCCACACACAACCAAAACGCCCTTTTTTCTCTCTCTCCTTTTCTGCAGCAGGGGGGGGTGAGGAGTCGGACCCGCTCCTGCCGAGCTTTTTGAAGTGTGGGAGGTTAAGATAACTGGCACAAGCTCGCGTCTCAATCGCCGCTTTCACCTCCCAGGCCAAAATCAAAGCGGCCGCAGATGAGGCCCGCCTGCCTCGCCGCCCCCCTAACCTCCAAACCCACCGACGCCCCCCCCCCCCTCAGCTCGCCCTTTACTCACAGCTCTGGGCTTTCTTTTGGTGCCATTAGAGAGGAAAACACCGCCGACAAATCACTCTAAAAATAAGCGGCAGCAGAGGAGGGCTTTACCGTGGCAGAGACTACAGCCAGTCAGGGAAAACACTGAGACGGACACTTCATTTTGTAGATATGGCCATCCTTTTTTTTTACTTATGACAGTTGGGAGCACGGTGATATCGCAGAAAGAAGTCTGACTGGGCAAGAAAAGAAAGTCACAGTCACGTGATTTAACTTTATTTGGAGGGGAGACACAAACTCCTCAACGATTGACGTAACGAGTACAACGTTACCAAAAGGTACAATGCGGTCAGGTCGAGGGCGTGAAAAGGTTCACACTAACTTTTTTAGTATTTTCTAGTATCACTTGTACACCAACAAGGATGAAGTACAATTCACATTGCACCAATACTTTAAGTCCAATTCCTCAATGTGGCAATAAATGGCTTCTGATTCTGACCTGAGTTGCAACAACCATCACTGATGACCGTCGTGTGTTCGGACGGAACCGGTTCAAATCGGATGGGAATATTAATGATGCCTCCCTTTTTAATCTCAACCTGAGATCCAGGGAACAAGACGTGCCATAACTCCGTTACATCATGCAGCGAGGTCAGCCCAGTCCGGCTCAGACCAGCTCCAGAAAGTATAATTGTCCCCACATTTAGAACAAAGTCTCGTGCGGCGGTTTGTGTTGGCGCGGCCGCGGCCTGGAACACACAGCTGGTTTTGGGGACACGGTTTTCAAGGCAGCCTCCTCTAAATACATCTGTAGCAGCACCGCTTTTAAAGACACAGAGGGGAAGGGGGTGGGGGTGGGAGGGGGCAGGGAAATAAGTTTTAAAAAAAGTAATAGCACCTGAAAGACAAAGCGATGTTTGAAACAAAACGCTGTGCACTGTCAGCGCATTCCTGTAGCACATAAAAGAAATCGCTTCTTAAACATTTTTTTTAAAGCTGCTATCAAAAGGCAGCTCGGGGGATGTATCTCATACACGGGGTGGGGGGGGGGACGGTGCCTGTGTGTTAACGTCTGGAGAGGAGGGAGGGGTGGGGGGTCTGGTTGTGGTCAAAAGGGGGAAAAAGGGGAGGGGGAGTCACCAAAGCCCCAAACCTCAGCCATGCGTGGGTGAGACTGTGGGAGTACAGGATGGTGTGTGAGGAGGGGAGAGGGGTGGGGGGGGTGTTGCCCACATCTGAGGCGGCATCGCTGGGGGCCCGGGCAGCTGAAGTTTGGCTGCGTGCCCTCGAGCGGCTCAGTCTGAGCCGCTGCAGGCCGGGGGATGTCGAGAGATGGTGGTGTGTGCGTGTGTGTGTGTGTGTGTGTGTGGGGGGGGGGTTGGGGGCGCACATTCCAAGGAGCCGCCGCCATTGCTGGCGCTTCTGCTGTGGTCTCGCTTCAAAGGGCCCCACCGCCGCTCGTATTCAGCGTCGGGACGGAGGAGCAGGAAAGGAAAGAGATTGTACTGCCGCTGAGGTTTAGCCCCCTTTTACAATTGCGCCCACGAGGCGAGTAAAATAAAAAATAAACACTGCTTCCTGCAGTTCCGGCGTCCTGGTGATGCATTGGGGGGGGGGTTCCTTCGACTCAAAAGATAAGCATTTCCCCAGGGGAGCGTCTGTCAAGGTCACATATTTCACCTCTTTCAAAAAGCGTTGGGGAGGTTGGGGGGGGGGGCCGGGGGGCTGATAGGAAGAAAAAAAAACATCACAAAAAGAGACTGGACCCTCATACTGTTACTGCAGCTGACCAAACCTCCACACAATAGGCCCGTGACTCAATCAAAACACGTCTCCCGCCCCAGTCTAAACAATGGGAGCACTGCGGCTGCATGTCTCACGTGTAAACAAAGACCTTTAAGAGGGTTGTTCCCCCCCCCCCTCCCCTCCCTCTTCCCCAAGTGTCACGTAAGGGTTGGCGGGATAATAAAACCATTGCGGTGTACAAGATATGTGCCTCTAAGCTAAAACCACATGCTTGAATTACATGAAGCTTGACGTGCTGCCACCCTCTGGGAGTCCACACCAGTGCTGAGAGGGTCATTTTACTTCACAGAGCGGCCTTTGTTGGAGTCAGGGGGAGGGAGGCGAGAGAACCGGGAGGACTGCGGGGGTCAATATTTTCCAACCACGGAAACATTAGCCGGGTGGGGTGCGGGCTGGAATGCTCTGATTTAAGGCTAAATTCCCCCCCCCGCCTACACACATATTTCTCATGTGTGTGAAAAAGCGCAGTTTGGGGAAAAACATCCCTCCCGTCTCCTGTGGCCTTGTGCTCAAAGCGAGACCCACAGTCTGTTTTGCAATCCGGATTCCTTCCCCAATTATCCCGGGTCACTAATAAGGCGGGGTGCGGAGGCACTGGGCTGTGCCGCGGTGGCCTGGAGGCTCGGTGCCAAATTGAAACGACTCGGGAAAAGGAGGACGGCGCCGAATCTTGCCTAATTGCAGGCGCAGTGTGTGGCTGGCTGCTCAGATGTGCGAGAGAGTGATGAGGGTCTGAGAGAGAGAGAGAGAAGATGAGAGGCAACAAATACAGAGAGAGAGAGAGAGAGGGGAGGGGGGAAAAGAAAATGGGAGATGGAGACTGAAGGATGAGTGGCAGTCGAGAGTGATTGGGTAAACCGAGAACTCCAGAGAATAAGGGATTTTCTTTTTGCCCCTTTTCTTACGCTCCCTTTCCACCCCTCCCTAACACACTCGTGCCCTCCTCTTCCTCCCTCGTTGCTCATCAAAGTCTTCTGACAGCTGACTTCTGGCTGCACACATCAGAGGGAGCGGAGCCGGGGCCCCGACCGAGAACGGAGGGAGAGGGAGGAGCGAGGCCACCAAAAGCCCCCCATTTACTTTCATGCCCAAGCGGACATGAGGTTACAAATGACCCCTCACTGCACTTGGCAGACTTTACCAATTGTAAAGCATCCTTTTATCCCGGATCATGTGATTAAAAATGCAGCCTCTTGCACAAGTGTTAAGGGGGCAGATCGGCTAGGAGAGACAATGATTTTGTTGGACAACAAAAGAGCACCTTCATAAGAGTCCGGCCGAGATGACTCGGGCGCGGTTTTATGACAGTTTGCAACTCCAAGGCCCTTTCTAGGGCGGATTAAAAGGCCACCTTTGTGAAAAAAAAAAAAAATCTGCAGCGGGTGAATTGGGAAAAAGCCTTGAGGGCATGTGTGTATGTCTCGGCCAGATAGCTATCTCAAAAGGCTGTGAATCAGCAGGCTTAGTCACACAAAAGGCTAACAGCATGAGAGGAAGGGAGAAGGAGACTAAATAAAGACGTGTGCAGAAACAGCGAGGAAAGGCGGTGTTTCCAGTTCGGGTAAGGAAAAAGGGGTTTGAAAGGAAGACAACGGAAACTCTTAATTTTTTTACATTGTCAGAGTAACAACTTCTCCGAAGGCCGCTCCACTGTGGTGGGAGCCCCCGTGTCTGACATGCTAAAGATAACAAAGAGGACCGACGTCATGCCATAAAACACTGCGGCGCCGCTCAACTCTCGGTTTGCCTCACAGGCAGAAAAACTCAAGAGCAGAAAGCCATAAAACATGTCGAAAAATGAAGTGGTATTAATTGAAAACGGGCCTAGGCGGGGGCGTTTTCGCTTTATTATGCTGAATGATATTCACCGCGAGTGCACAAGCGCTGCAGATGAAATCAAAACGTGGTAAATGTGTAGCAAACAAATAGGTGCTGAAGTTGTGTCTCCGCATTTACTCATTAACAAACTTCCTTTCAGATTTCTCATACGGCGCAGAGGCGGGGTAGAGGCTGGGGCAGATGAAAAGAAATAGACAAACGAGTTCATTTAAAAATGTTTTTCGCCGTCTACACCGAGCTAACCTCAATCCAGCTCTTTGGGATCTGCATAAATTGAGGGCTTGGGGAGTTGTGGCAGTATCCTTGGTATTATGCATATTAGTTTAAGGCTGTCACTGAGAATCAGCAAGGGTGTCCATCCCGCTGCGGCTAGGCGCTGCTAATTATTGGATCAGAGATAAAGTGCTTTTTTAGAGCCTGCTCTCTCCCAGCTGTTTTTTTTTTCTTCCGGCTGTGGGATGAAAAAAAAATAGAGAAAGAAGAAAAAGCGGCCCAATTTTGGGTTCAGGGAGAGCCACCGGGTCAGGAATCGATCAAGTGGAAAACCTTTGTCTGGTTGGGGTGATTTGGACGTAAGACCAGATTTGTCACATCTGCCCGGCTTTTTCGGCTGCCGAAAGGGAGCGGAACAACAGGATGCTACCAGACTCCCAGGCAGGGAGGGATGGAGAGGAGGGGAGGGGGAGGGATGGAGGAGAGAGATGGAAAAGCGAAAATATCCAGAGAGAGAACGGCAGACTGAAAATAGAGTTGCGTTTGCCCCACATTGAGAATGCTAATCCTTCTTTCAACAAAACCAAAAAAAAGGATAGGTGACAGTTCAGTGCGGGTTTGACGTGTCATCTGAATCAATATATTATTAACATGTAAAAAAAAAAAAGAAAACGACTACCGAGTGCCTTTGTTATGAAGGCATTATATACACCGTGAAACCCCAGATACCATGAAATCGTGTTAAGGTAGAGCATCTCATTAAGTTGCTGCCAAAAACGCTGCTGAATCCCGTTCCGCCTCACAGAGATGCAGAGAGAGACAACACATGTCGTCCATATGGGACCGAGTGCTGACGTCTCAGCGTCCAACAGCGGTGAAAAAAAAAGTCTGAGCGACTAAAAGTGTTTTCAGATGTATCGTTTGGTCCATGTTTAGAAAACACAGACTGGGCGAGCTGTCTGATTTATTAAGCAATAGCCTCCAAACCCCTTCTCATTAACGCGTGATGAAAGAGAAATAAACCGCCAACTGCTGACACAACACCAAAACCTTTAATCCAACCAGTGCACCAAACAAAAACATTGGATTGACCCATTCCGTGTTCACACACGCATACATGCACACAAACACGGAGAGAAAATCCAACGGGTCATTGTGCTGAGGCCATTGAGCGGAGCACAATCCCTCCTCAGGCCTCAGCACCACGGACACAATGACTATGGCGAGGTTAGGGTGGACCTTTTCAGGATTAGTCTGTGAGTATCTACTCTAAAGCCGGTGTTTAGCAGATTGGAAAAAGACTCGGCAGATATTGAACTGATCAGACAGGAAGGGGATAGAGGGTTTGTCTTACCATATTCTCAGATGTACGCCGTTTTCATTCTCTGGCCTGTACCTGCAGAAAATTGCATCTTTTAAATTTGTTTTTAGGTTGTTTTTTTGGGCCTACACAGTGTACAGGCCAAAAAAAAAGAAAGAAATGACTGACATTTTACTTAAAATGTAATTGTCAATGGATTAGAGTTGCAGTTGCAGAGAGGAGGCTCATAAGCGCAGCTAAACAAGGTCAGCAGAAAGACACACTGTAGTGCAGCAGGCAGACAAACAGTGCAAAGCCCAGAGTTGGTAAGTAGTCATATAGAATGGACAGACTAATCCCAAAGTAGGTGTACTTTTTGAAGACGGGGATGAGAGAGAGGCAGTGGACAAATGGATTGGTGGGATGAACACAAAGAAAATCCACAAGAAAAGTGAGAGAAAGAATTTGCTGCCTTCACAGAATCAAGCCAGTCTACTGAAGCCAGAATGAGGGCAGTTGTGTCGGTGTGAACCTGCACTTGTCAGTTTTACAGGTATCTGTCTCTGACTACTGGGATATTTGGTGTTTTTGTTTTTATCTAAAGAGCATGTATAGAAATGCAGCGAGATACTTTACACACACACACACACAAAAAAGGAAGCAACTGAAGGGACGCGTGCTTACCTGGGGCTGATTCCTGCATCTTCTCCCTCTTCCGCTTCTTCTTCTTTCCCTAAAAAATATACAGAGGAACACATAAAGTGTGGCTCCAGCACTCACGCTCACTAGACCACTCTGATATCCTGCTGCTGACTGCCATGTTCACTCATCCCCTGCTGGGCATCCAACCAGCATCCCCTGGCCTCCGGACTCCACCGCAAACTGCCGCGCTGAGAGGGAGCGTGCACCGACCGGGGAGGGCGTGCGCTGACATTGGAGCTTTCGGCTGCTTCAAGAAACAACTTAATTTCACAAATTGGCGCGCCCCTTGTTTTTGAGCTGCGACCATCCCGGCAGGATGGAGGCGGCTCGTCCCGTGTGCTTGTGACCCGTCTGCGTCATCTTTCCACTTCCTTTGAAGTCCCTCTGATGGCAAATATTCACGTGAAGTGCAATTAAAACTGCTCCACTGTAATTAGGCTGCTCGGGCTCGACGGCTGTTAAGAGTGCCACTCTTTTCCCAGCGAGGTGGTGGGAGTGCGTGAGGATTTATAGCTTATGCTAAATCCCGGGCAGGGAGGTGGGGGGGGGACTATAGGTATAGATAGCAGCGTAGTGTCGTTCTAGTCAAATATGAGCAGCGCTTTGGTTTCCCGCTGCAAAGTCTGCTAATCCACTTATTCATGAGCTAATCTGCCTTCTACTGCTGCGGCAGACGGGGGAGAAGACGGACTAAGCGAGAGTGGGTGAGAGAAAGGACGAGAGTGGGGGTACACAGCGAAAATTGTGAATGCCACTCGCTCCGGTCCGTGCCAGTGCGCTGCTCATTTCGGGTGTTTCCAGGCACGCTGTGCTTTCTGTGTGCAGCTGATGGTTTTATTAGTGGGAGGGGTCGCAGAATAGCACCGTCAGGGCCGTGTTCCTGGGTGAGAAACCCTCTTCTTTTTCTTCTTCAAATATGTTTGTACTGACGAAGCTGGACGTTAAACGGGAACGGTCACTAGCTGAGGCTGTGTATCTGTAGAGAGGGTCACCTCTCTCAGCGGGGCAGTTTGGCGGTGGAGCGGTGGAGGCAGAAGGAGGGGTGAGGGATGCTGTCGATGTCCGAGGGGAGGCAGATAAACACCACAAAGCGCTTTGGTGGTGGAGTGAACGTGAGTGCCGGAGCCACACTTTTAATAAAGGCTGGTGCTCTCTCTCTCTCTCTCTCTCTCTCTCTCACCAACTCATCCACGCCACATACTCGGGAGACAGACCGGACAACTTGCGACGCTAATGCACAAACACGTAGGCATGCACGCCAGGATACATGCACCAAATAAACATGCTGCATCCTAAATGCGGCTGAACCTCCCACATTGACCCACCAAAAGGGGCAGCTAGAGGAGCAAAGGCGTGCTGCCGCTGAACGCCATCTGTTCGATCCAGAAGCTCCACGCTGATATCAAAGACTAGCACAACCATTACCTGGCAGTTTTTCCTCTTATATGTAATCACATATATGACATATCGGGCTAAAACAAACAAAAGGCTCTACAAATGGGCTCTGTTAGCACGCAGTGTGTGTGTGTGTGTATGCGTCACTATTGTGTGCCATTTGAAAGTCATGCAACGCTGACACAAACAAACAACATAAACCCAACACACACACACACACACACGCACACGTGCACCTCTGCCGATCTGTTCTGTTGATACTTACATAGTTATCTCGAGCGGACCAGCCTGGGTAGAGCTGCATGTGGAGCTGCCGTTCCTTGCGGGCTAGCTCATAATACTTAGCTTGCTCTTCCCGAGATAAAGCATGCCACTGTTTCAGTACAAGGGAGATTAGGAGAAAAAAAAATAGCATACAGTCAATTACTTGCATGCAATGTTCCCTGCATAGTGACGTGTGCTGGTGTTTTAGTTAAATGAAAAATAAAAAAATCTTCAACTCGCAAACGTTTGGTCTTAAAAAAAAAGGGGGGTTGGGGGGGGGGAGAAGAAGGGGGCACATGATGAAGAGATTAACATGCGCCAGAGTCAGAGGGAGGCAGAGAAGAGAAGGAGGAAAAAAAACAACTTTGATTTCATATCAAAACACTGGTTCCAATTTAGCGGCGCTTTTTATTCAAACTATGTCAGCGAGCAATTACCCGATGCAGGCCACAAACTGGGCTTTACTGTGGCTGGCTGCCTCAACCGCCAGGCCTATTCGTTAGGCTTTTAACATGGCTCCGTGGTTCCTCTTCCTCAAAAGGAACAAATCTCGTCATTTCCAACCGTGCCATTATCCAGGCATATTTTATTAAGGCCAATTTGATTAAATGTCAGCTCGATAGGCAGTACGTAGCTGTGCTGCTGAGAGGGAAGTAATTGGCTTGGGCAATCATTATGACAATAATCACGACTAGTTCGTAAAAAGGCTGTATGTTAACAGAGTGAGGGAGCGTTTGTACTTTTTAAACTAATTGGGCCTGGGAAGTCGGTCTACGCGGTATCGTTACAGCCACAGCTTGAACTGTGATCTCCTGGGGATTTGCCTCAGATCAACAGCAGTGACACAGAGTCCGGGATCGGTTCTCGCCGTGCACGGACTCGCCTGACTAATTTCACCTACCCTCCGTCCCAGGATCTGATTGATGGCGGCGCTCTCCTTCAGCGTGCACTCGGCCACCACGTTGGCGCGCATTTCTTTCATGTAGAGCATGAAGGCGTTTAGCGGCTTCTTGATGTGCGGTCTTTTGGGCTCCTGCTCCTTTCTCTGTTCGTGCTGGGGCTTCCTGTAAGGAAAACAACACCAACAACCAAACAGATGGAGGTAAAGAACAAATAACTTTGAAAAATGAGAGCATGAAAGAGCAAAGCAGCAGAGGGGGCGACAAAAGTAGCGAGGGTCTGGTTGCTGTCAGCCAATGGCGAGGCACGCAATGGGCCCCCGCCTTTTTAATCAGTCGCAGGCCTTAACGCGGGGAGAGAGATTACTTCACCAGTAATGGCAACCAAACCCTCTCGTCCACCGCACACTGGCAATCGCTTAAAGCCCAATGCTCACACTCCAAAACGCCGCCACTTTCTAACGAGCTTTTTTTGATACCAGTAGAGTCTCGGTGCTGGGATGGCCATGAATAATGGAAATGTCGGTGATAACCACTTCAGGGTCCTCACACTACTGGGGATGTGAATTCATTCCATCCGAGCACAGATCTAGGACGCGTATCAGTTGCTGAGTGTTAAGTGTGTTGTGATCCCTGAGGACAAACGGAGCGTGGGCCTGTTATCAGCGGAGCCCGGGCCCCCCCGTGCTCTCTCCCAGCTTTTCCCCGCTTATCTGTTCACATCAAGGGAACGAGAACCAGGCTCCGACAGAGTGGTGGCGGAGGGCACGAGTACCTGGAAGTGTGTTGTTTCGGCACGTGCGAGTGTTCGGCGAAGGTATTTTGCGTTTGCAGGACTCACATGTGCATGATGTCGGTTTCATGCAGAGGCTCGTGTTTGACCTGTGGGTTGACGATGGCCGGGTGGGGGATCCCTGTGGCGTGGGGACCTTGGGGGCCGGGCACCATGTGGTGTGAGAACCTGCAATAACAGCAGACAGTTGGCTTTGATTAATTAAAAGAGGACCAGGGAGGACAGTAGCATGGAGGGGTCCCCTAAATGTCAAGTGGTCAATAGGTGGTCAATGTCAATACGGTTAGTTAGTTATTAATTATACTATCCTGCAATATTAGAGCAGAGGGACACGTTGATATTGCTTCATACCAGGGGATCACTATCGAAAGTTTGGGTACTACTAGTTTTTATGATTGTTGGGGGATGATATTAGTTTGTTTGAGAGTTTCCCTGAGTTGTGTACATCTTCCCTTCTGAAGATAAAGTGAAATACAGGTTAGATGACTAAAGAGACTTCATGCAGTCTTTTGAAAAATGTGTTTCATATTTTCAGAACTGCTTCGAGTATTCATTTCTGCTTAACACGTTTTTATGCTTTTCCTCATTGGCTCACAGCTTTTGCAATATATACATATCTATATATCTATAGATATATAGATACCCAAGTCAGATATAAGGAGGAGGAAAGCTGAAGAGATTGAGCTTCAACTGTCGCCTGATCCCCTACCTTACATCTGGCTTCACTCAATGTATGCCACAAAGACCCAACTTTACAAACATCATGTTGACACATACAGGAAGCACAAAGAGGGGAACACATGTTCGGAACAAACAAGAGAGAAAAAGTACAGGAATAGACAAGGCTGCAAAGAGAGAGAGAGAGAGAGAGAGAGAAGCACTCCCAGGAAGCTCTGAGGGTTAGGGTTATATGGTTACGCCAGGACATATACGCGGTGATGTGTTTGACATCTGCCGGCACACAGAGGGGCCTGAAGCAGACCTCCCTGTACGCGGCATTTCTCCCCTTAAACCCGGCACGGTGTCGGAGGCGAAGGGACGGGGGCCGCAAATGCTCCTTGTTCACATGGATCGACTGCGCGTGCTTTGGCTTCGGTCCGTGTGACTCACCATCCCAGCGGGGGCGTGAGCTGCCCGACTCCTCCGGGGGACAGGGAGTAGAAGTTGGTCATGTCTGGTCCCTGGTGATGCCTTTGCATTCCTAGACACGCAACAACACAACAGTTAAAAAGCGTTGAGGTTACACTTACAGATCTGCATTCTGTGGGTCTGACAAGGACTACAGAGAAAGTTGGCAGAACGACAGCAGCTCCCGCAGAGTATGAACAACTTAATTGTTAAATCAACGTGTTACCATTTGTGGCCAGAACCTCTAAATAGGATGAGCTTGCAAAAGGACCAAAAGTTTGAATTGATTAATTTGTCGGGTCTTGTTATAATATTCTTTGAGCCGATTATGATTCAAGTCATAACTTTGCCAATTGTTTCGTGGGATATCATTAGTGAAGATTCTATCCCTCTAAAGCCATTTCTCCTTCCCCTTCCTGCTCCGCTAATAGTCCAGGACAGTGCACAGTGTCGGGGCTTGAACACGCTTCTTGACCTCACATTATCAATCTGGAAGAAAAAAGAATCCCCTTTCCCCCGCTTAGCTGGAGTCCTTCCAGTGCGTCTCCGCATCTTTAAGCTGGTTAATTGAGGCTCCGTCTTTGTGTCTGCGGCTTTCCCTGTAGACACGGGATTGACTTGGCCTAACTGTCGGTGGATCTTCTGGACTAAGCTCCTCCATCTCCAGCTCGTCGGCGCCTACTGGGTTTCAAGGTCGAGGGCTCCTTTTTTTTAGTTGAAAGATAACTGGGAAATGGGGCCGTAGAATTATTCATATTTAACTAGATCTCAGCAACTCACATAGCCTCTTGGGAGACACCTATTTGTTTTATTTTTCATTTTAGACAGGATCAATACAATTGAAACTACTGTTCAAACACAGACACACACACACAAGTGGGATGTGCCTTCACACGTGCACACACACAAAGAAAAGATTAGCAGCATCTTCTAATCCCTGCTGGAGCTAGCCTTTTCTTCTTGCCTCTATCGTTTCCCTTCTTTCTCTCTCCAGGCTGTGGTCTGAAGGGGCCTCCCTCCTCGGAGAGCCGGGGTGAACGGGGGGAGCTTATAACTCCAAAGCCAATGTTGCAACGCTGGATTCATAGCACGCATAGCGCTACCCCCCGCCAACTAATCCACCACCTAACACTCCTGAGGGCCCTCCTGAGGGCAGAAGGGAAGGAGGCAAGGGGTGAGGCGGCTAGGGAGATTGGAGAGAGCCCCGGCGTGTTAACCTTGTCACTCACCCCCCTAAGGTGCCTAATTACTCACTTCCCTGTACACCCGTTGACGCCCAACAAGGATTCACACGCGCACCTCCGAACACTAACCTGCTTCTCATTGTAAAACCGGGAAACAATATAAATTCAAATTAGTGTTTCCATCTTATGTTTCTTCTTTTTTTCCCGAACAGGACATATAGACGGTTTGAATGTAATATGTTCAAAGCCCCCCCCCCCCCTCTGCTCGACCTTCCTTCCATTGCATAGCGGCCCTGTGCATATCAGAGCTCATAATGAGAAAATCCATGATTGTTTTTCATAATTAACGAGCAGATCAAAGTCTGAGCCCGCTAAGGAAGGGGGAGCAGCAATTGGTCGATATGAGAGTGCAAGAAAGGGAGAGGAGCAGCAAGAAAGAGAATAAGAGAGGTTTCTCTTTAAGCATCTGCAGCCTAGCTTGACTGGTATACACACATGAATATGCCTGGGGAAATCATTTGCAGCAAATTCGGGTGCAAACTGGATCGCTTGGACATGGATTTCTGTCGGGCTGCGGGAGTAAAGATCAAATATAGCAAAAGGAAGGGAAAAAAAAGACCTCCAGGGGTCCTTTCTGCTCTCCAGTGTTTGTCAGAAACGTAGTGGATCTCGATGGACCGGCAAGACCAGTAAAACGGGAAAATGGGACTACACGACAACCAACCGATTAAAATGCGTGCATTTGCGTTTCAGAATATGCATTGCTCGATTCCCTGCGTCAAGACAATTCTTTCTTTTCCTTCCTGCTAACCTTTGAAAAAAGTGCTCAACAGAAATGCGTCTGATGCATGGCTCCTCTGGCATATGTGGAGCACGGTTTCTTTATCCGTCTGTCCCTTCATCTCACCACGCTGTGTACTCCAGCGCTCGGCGCTGCTTTGTTATTTATAGTCGGCCCCTCAGAACCTCCCCGCCTCATCATCGTCTTTATCATCGCCCGCGTCCCGTCTGATCCATCTCCTCCTTTTCAACTGGCAGCCGCGGGAGGAAAAAAAAAAAAAAAAAAAAGCCACAAGGAAAGAAAAAAAGGTGCGAGACAAAAACTACGACGGGAGCCCAACATCTTTCTGCTTTCGTGACAGGCCCTGCCAAACGTCTCCAGCTGCGCGGGGCACGAGGAGCTCGTCCGCAGCTGTCAAGAGCTGCGGCTTGATGTTGTTACCGAGAGGCGGCGCGTGCGGGAGCAGAGGGCAGCCGAGCTCGACGCGCCGTCCCACGGGACGCTTCAAATAAGTTTATGTTCAGAGCCGGGGCGGAAGACTTTGATTTTCGCTGTCACGCGTTTTGGTTTGTTTGCCTGTGCCGATTCCCTGACAGCGTTGGCACACGGGGATGTTTAAAAATAAATTAAAAATCAGTGGCTTGCTCAGTTGCATGACGGCACCTTTTGAATAAAATCACACTTTTAGTCCGACTAATCAAACAAGGGCTGTGGTTACTTTGTGATCCCAATGAGTTCCACACGTTCAACTGAACCGATTTGAAATGTAATAAAAAGTCAAACAAAGAAGTTTGTGTCCACTTTGAAAACATCATCATCACTAAAGACCCAGACTATTTAGAAACGTGGATTATTGGTTGTTTGGATCGGTCGTCTCTACCTTGTTTGTTGTTGACGTCCTGGGGATGAGGACCTGGGGCGAAGTGCTCGTCACTGTACGTGATCAGCGGGGTGAGTGGGTGGACTGCGTGGGACGGCTGCACCACGGGGACTTTGTTGGACTGTGGAGGGGGGAAAAAATAGGGATGACATTACACATGAGCTTCAGCGGCATCCCTCCATGCACGAATTGGCCCCGTTTCCCACCACACGATCTGGCGACTGGTACGGCACTTTATTGTGAGGGTGGTCTGCCTGCATGTGGATATGCAACATTCCCCTGAAGGAAGGAGGAAAAACACGTCAAAGAGAGAGAAGAAGAGAGAAACAGAGCTGCAGCGGATGGGAGCAAGTGGAGCGAAGGGAGGGGAGAGAACAGCATGATTCGCAGGGTAGAGTTAGAGCAGAGGTCTTCGGCGGGAGATCAAAGGCAGTCATTAGCTGGTGAATAAGGGGGAGTTCATTACGGAGCAAGAGCCGAAGGGGGGGAGAGATGAGGGATGGGGGAGGGGGGTTGCTGTGGACGGAGAGCGCGAGTGAGACAGATGTCTGCGGTGCTGCTTAATGCGGGGAGTAATCACGTCAGGAGTGTCCTGACCTCAGCCCCCCAACCCCCGTCCCCGGCTGACTCAGATCCCTGCCCTCCTGACAAACTAAAATAGCCCGAGCTGCCCCCCCCCCCCCAAAAAAAGAGAAAATCCCCGGCCCCAACTCCCCCCCGGCCAAGCGCTTACATGCTTCAGCAGCAACGGACACATGGCAATGCTTAGCCATGCTACATCTACTGTCCAAATATCACCTCCACAGGTTACCAACCAGAGACATTAGTCCGCTGTCCTGATGTCACTGACGGGTCTCCCACCAAAGGGCTCCCGTGAGCTTTGAATGAGAGACCTTTCTGGCCAGATGCTCCCAAAGGAACGGTCACCTGATTAATAATGTTGTTGGAGAAACTTGTCTAAATTTAGCATGAGAGTAGATTTCTGATCACGGGACTGTTCTTTAGAAGCTCCCGCTCTGTTGTCCTCGCGAGGTGTCGGCCAAGGTGACATTCCTGCAGTGCTAAGTGGTGATTGGTGCCCCTCCTCGCCCACTCCCACCACACACACACACACACACACACACACACACACACACACACACACACACATAGTGCGGCTGGAATGTCTGTGTTGCTCCTGAACCTCTCGCAGACTGGCACCAACCTCAACTTAAGAGCCGCCCCCCCCCTCTCCCCACCTTCTGGGAACGTCCTGACTGGGAACACAAAGGGCAGCAAGTGTGTGTGTGTGTGTGTGTGTGTGTGTGTGTACCGAGAAAGACCTCAGCATCCTCAAGCACATGACCCATCATCTGTATCCTGTTATCAGGGTGGGAATCTCATCCCCCAGGGCCAATTTCTTCCCCAGCTCCTCTCTTGATAGAAGCCTTCATGTGCCGCCGTGTAGCGGAGAGTCCTCATTGTAGCGTCTGAGAGTTACAGACCATCATTACGCATCATGACTCATTACGCAGAGGCTTTTCCCATTAGCCCAGGTGAGGGTGGCTCGGTGACCCCAGTCGGCAAGAGTCAAAGGTGATGGGATAATCTGTGACGGTGGGAGTGTCAGACCTCATCCTACAGAGGGGAGGGCTGTTAGTGAGAGATGCTAACCCTGAAGGAGGGGGGGGGGAGGGGGGGGACAATCCTACACCAGGGGCTAAATGCTAGCATTCCCGCCCATATTATTTTACGCCTGTCCACTCCCATTGGTTATCCTGCAGGAATGAGATAAGAACTTTGGGGATTATCATTTTAGGTGGAAATAGAAAGAATAGAAAAGAAAGAAAAAGCAGGCAGAAACAAAAGTTAGACTCTTGTTCACACACAAACACACACCTACATACATGCGAGACTGTAAAAAAAGGTGATTGACTACCTAGAGGCTTCCGCCGCGGAAGAGAAGGCCTCTTTTGTGCTTTTGCCAGTTACAGCTGTCATGTCACATTTTTCTCAACTGCTTAATAAACTGCCTTCATGAAGGCCAAAATCCACCAGAGAAAAACCTGCAGGCCTCTGTGACCAATACACAGTTTATGGCTCTCTGGGTTTCACATTTACATAAACTGCATGCCACAAATAACCGTGGCTCGCTCTCGGAGGAAAGGAGGAGCGATGCATTGTTATTTGGGGCTTCTTACATCTCCACCTCTCTCCAAACTATCGTATGACGGGGGGGGGTAAACATATGGAGGTTCGGTCAAACAGTCACACGTCCTCACTGTTAAGTTACTGTGCCGACCGTCGTCATGGAGCCACTCTTTTCAGCTCCTCCAGGTGGAGACCGGTTGGCTCGCTGCCACCACTTTGCAGCTCTCGGCAGGTTGCGCCATAAAAAGCAGGACACCCTTTTACCAATTTCCTGGAGGAAGTAGTTGGAGACACTCAAGTGACCACAACCGTGAGTGTCACGGCACGTTACTGCAATCTAACCCCCTCTCATCCCCCATCCCGACTCTAAAGGCCCTCAGCTGCAGCCGCTGCGGCGGCGATGTTGCGATGGAGGGCCGCCATATTGGAGGTCCATTTTATTGTATAGGAGAAATAATAGGCTTAGGATCTTTCTATTCATACTTTTTTTAGGGAGAGTGAAAGAGGAGAGGCGGCGAGGATTGAAAAGAAAACGTTCCATTTGGAATTTCATATCCAGGCTTGGCCGGCCCTTCTGAAGAACCCCTCAGATGTGGTTTTAAGAGAAATTCATTGTGCGGAACTGGAGCTGGCAGGAAGCCCTTCGATGGAGGAGACACTCCAGTGTGTTTCGGTACGCGGAGCCAGTGACTTGGCGTGCTGTCTGATAATGGGGGTGGGGAAAGGATATAGGATGTTTGCTTTTTTATGTTTCTTTATTGTTTTTTTTCCTGACGGCACGCCTGTGTCTCCGAATCCTATTCTGTCCGATTCCACAAGCATCCTGCGACAGTGTGCGTGTGCATGTGTCTATGTGGTATATGCAACATTGCCTTTTTAGCATCTCTCTCCCCCTCTCGGCACGGCTTTTGTGCTCCACTCAATTATACCACTTCTGCGGAGCGGAGTGGAAAAAAGAGAAAGCGGGGAATTTTATAATAATCACTTCCCACTTCTGTAATTTATATGCAATGAGGACTCTTTGCGCCCGCAGCTACAATCAAGTGTGTGGAAACCATACGAAGTGTTTCACAAACAGCGGGGGAGATGGCAGCTCGAGTGGGGGCCACGGATTCCCATGCTGCTAAATCTTTTCACTGAGAAGCCCATCTCACCCCCCAAAAACGCAACCTCACCTCCTGACAGGACTTTCCGCCCGAGTCAACAGAAGAAAGAAGAAGAAGCGATAAATTTCCCGGTGATTACGACTAGTTTCATCGAGAGTTTGCCGTAAATTTCCGATGGAATGATGATTGCCATCACCCGAGGGGGGTGGTTTAAAATAGCTGTGAATCACTGGGAGAGAGCACGCCCACCTCTGGCTGCTTAAATACAGTCTTTGGCTACTGTATCCACTGACAATGTGATCATTGTGGCTCCCTCCCCCTCCCCCCCCCTTTTACCAAAATCAGTGGAGACCAACCTGAGGAAGCTTAAATAAATAACCAATTACCGCTCACGGAGCTGGTTTGAACCCCACCAGCTCCAAGTGGAGTGCTAAAAATGGAATGTTTTATTGGCAGGATGGCCCCCTCGGCCAGGGGGCTTAATGTAACCAAACCCAATTAATGGAGAAGAAAGCCGCGCCGGCAGCGAGCGAGGGAGCGCCGCGCGCCGGGGGTAATGAGACGAACAAGCGAAGCCAACCGCAGGGACAGGAGCGGAGGAGGCTACGAATAACAGGAAAATCCTGGCCCGGAGAGACGTTTACATCTGCCATACCCCCGTACCAATCTCTCCTTCCCTCCTCCTCCTCCTCCTCCTCCTCCTCCTCCTCCTTTACTTCAATCCTAAACCTCGCGTCCAGAAGTCAGAACAGACGCCGTGGCAGTGAGGTCCAAGAACAGTTGGTAGAACTGGGAATAGAGGTGTAAGTCATCCTGAATCATAAGTCAGGGTGTTTGGCGGATGACACAAGTAGACGTGTACCACATATGCAATGTTATGCTTTTTAGTAGCGCAAATTTATCACGCGGGGAAACTCGCAAACCGACGCTTCCACATTAGCCACACGTCAAACACAATAAAACGCACAGCACCGACAAACGCAGGGGCATTAACATGGAATGGAACACAAAACCGGCCGGGGAAAGGCACACAGATACGGCGTAAAATGCGGTCATGGTGCATGGTGACGGGATCAGAGGCCGCTTAATGAATTTAACCCGTACATGCTCCATATGAACACAAAGCAGCTATTAACAGCTGCCTGTCTTCTTTCCCACCACCACGCGCAACTGAATAGGACAGGGTGGATTACCCATCATCCTTCAGTTGGCACGAGGAGCGTGCGCTCCGAGCAAACCAATCGCGCTGGCTCCCCATACTGGATGTGCTAAGGAGATAATTTGTGTGAAATATGCCTGCCCCAGATGAAAAGACTTGATCCGCTCTTTTTTTCAAGTGTTCAACTCTTAATTTCTATATGTCGCGGTGCTATTAAAAAAGAACTGAGGGGAAGAGCAACAGAACATTAGAAATGATCCAGTTGCTGTTAAGGCGCACCAAGTTAAGTAGGAAAGGTAAATCACTATGACATCGGGTTGTCAGCTCAGGGGTGAAGTGCAACTTCTTATGGTCATTTGGGCGTCGTTTTACGTATAGGGAGTGTGGGGAAAGTCATGTTGCAGCTTGCATATGTTTTTCCAAATAACCATTGTTATAATGGAAATTGTAGCAAAGAGGTTTTGGTTGTATTATTTATTGAGTTTTGCAATAAATATCCGTGCAACATAGTTAGAGGACTTTAAGTAAGAGGCCAAAACCAGCGACAGTCTGTTTCTCAAAATGTGGCTCTCGGCCCTAAAGCCCATTTGTGTGTTTTAACAATATACATCTTTAACAGGTGTACAGAGAGGTAGACGTTGCACTCAGTGATTATGTGCAGTTGTTTTTTCTGCTGCCTTGGCATTAAAGCTGCATTCAGATCGGATCAGAAGCTCCGTGCGGGCG